CAGCTCATTCACACACTTTTCATGAAGATAGAAGAGTTTGTTGAATCTGACGTGACATGTTCGTACGAACCCTTTGTACGAACAAAAGTAGGAGAAATTTAGGATAAGAATACGAACATGTTCTTGCATGAGGCCCATTGTTCATCGGAGTTCCGTACATTTCAAGCTGGATCAGGTTTGACTTTATCAGGACTTTAAAACTGAATCATAATCAGGTGGTCTGCATCAGGTGGTCTGCATCAGGTGGTCTGCATCAGGTGGTCTGGATTAATCTTTGCACTGCTGGTTGTTATTAAGTAAAACAATAAAAAAAATAAAAAAACAAGAAACAAACTTTTGTGAAACATCTGAATCACTGCAGAGCCTCTACTTTCAGTCATATCTTCAGTGATTTCTCCACACTGGAGCTTTTTCTGGACCTTGACTGTTACATTTTGTACATATTTTTGGGGTCATTGTTGTGTTTTCTTGTGAGGTTTTGTGATTGAATGTACGCTTCGGAGGTGCCGTGTCCTTCACTCTCACGTTTTGTTCTTCACAGAAAGTGTTTTTGTTCTGGTAACAAAACATAGTTCTACTGTGATTCACGTGTTGCTTTATTTGTGGGTTTTTTGTAGGTTTTACGACTCGAAACCAGACAAAAATACAAATTTCAAAGTTTTTTCTTTTCTACAAACTTCTGACTTGTGTTCAGGAGGTCGAGGTCAATGAACACTTATAGAGCCGCCGCTCAGGAACAATCATGTTGGCTAAAACAGATGGCGACGAGGAAGAGGAGATTATTTTTCTTCTCCCCTCTCCATTGTTCTTTTAATTTTCCCAAAACAGCCCGTGGGCTGATGGGGATCAAATTAAACTCACCTTTTACCTGAACTCCTCTGTGCAATTAGCGTCACGCTTTCCTGTCATTTCGAATTGACGCGCCGCTGTTGTGCCGTGTAATTATTTACCCGCCTGGGGAGAAGCTCTCCGCTTTCACCGCTGAACAACAAACACATTTCAGCGCCGCAGCGCTTGTTTCCTGTTTTACCTGAGACGTGTTTAACATGCTTCTTACCATTACAGGGTCAGTGCTGTCCAATTAAAGGGGTTTTTGTCTCCAGTGTGTTTTTTCTCATGTTCCTCATGAAGCTTAAAAATAAAAAAAATAAAAAAAAGGTTTTGGCGTTTGAGCAACAGGACCCAAACCTGCCATTCTTCCTTCAGTTTACTGTTTTTTTCCCTCCGATTTTAAAAATGTCCGCCTTTTTTTTCTTTTTTTTGTGGTGGAGCAAAGGGCTGGGTCCTGTTCTTCAAAACCACTAAGGCCGTGTTGTTTTCACTTTTTCACACTTACCGCCCGGTCAGCGTCCGAACGTCACACTGAGAGAACACACACACACACACACACACACACACACACACACACACACATGGGTTAAAGGAGAGGCGAGCCACGGCAGCCATTTTCTTATAAACACAAACAGAAATCACACCCAAATCACTTTTCTTTGATCTTGTGTCTTTTCTTGTAATAAATCTGTGTCTGTGATGCTTTTTTTTTTTGTTTTTGTACTCTTTTTAAAGAAAACACACACATACGCACAATGAGCAAAACACATGAATTCTTGCTGATTTGTCTTTTTCGCTCTTGCTTCTTTTCTTTTTTTGATATTCTTTTTTTTAATCGGTTTTTGCCAGTAATCTTTTTTGAATTTTCTCTTTTCTCTTTTTCCCCCCTTTTTTTCTTAACCCTAGGTCCGCTCACAAAAAAAACTGATGAATCTTCAATGAACAAGCCTCGAGACGAAGGTATTTTTGTTGCATGTTTTTCCTTTTTTCTTGTTTTCCAAGTCTTTTTGGGGGATGTGTTTACACACACTCACACACTCACACACACTCACACACACACACACATGCACAAGTCAAATCTCTTTAGTGGGACTTCCATATGAGCTGCATACCAATGTGTTGCTGAACGAATGTGTTGCTGACCACTGCAATTGAACAGAAGTGTCTTTTGAATGCTAATAATTAGCCTTATATAACCTTGGATGAGCGACCCGGGCTAATGGAACCTGCATTATAAAACCATCCAGTGTTTTCCAGAGGTGCTTATCTTGCTCTCAAATGACTAAAAAAAATAAAAATAAAAAGAGCCTGGACACCATCCTCAGCGCCGTGCCCTTGAAAACACATCGGCCAACTAAGCGACATTGTCCCCTCCCCGAAACCAAATTACTGGTGTGATTTTTGAGCAACAAAGCGCTCGCTGAAAGCACCTCAACACAATGAGGCGTTATTCCCGCGCCTCGCCTCGCCTCGCCTCCACCTCCTCCTCCTCCTCAAGGATGAAACAGCTGCTGGATGAGGCGGTACACAAATATTAAGCTATTTCAAGTCGATGATGATAACATCAAATGATGTAAGATGGGAAGGAAGGTGGGGGAGCAGAACATCCAAGGACACTTGTGGCCCACTTTGAGAGATATAGGTCTAATCTGTTGCAGAAATAAACCTCATTCCTGCACCGATTTACACCACATTTCCATCCTCACCCCCTTTGCTTCTGGTTTCTTCACTAAAAAAAGAAAAAAAATGGTGATATTTTATTATACGTTTGTCTGAGTGCTGTTTTTAAAGCGTAACTTACCCCAAATTAACGTATTTTCAGCTGATAAACTGCCTAGAATGTGTCTACAATGTTATATAGTACTGTTTCTGTGCTAAATTTGATGTTTTTGTGCGTATTTGTTCAAATCTGTAATATTTGGTCTAAAAACGTGTTTTTGCTGCTCATATGGGTAGAGCAGTGGTACTGCAGGCTAATTTGCATATTGGTTAACGGCTCTCCGCTGTGACGTGTTTCTGCACAGTTTCGTCACAGTGACTGTGTTCTGCTATTAAAACCTCTCTCTAAGACACGCCCCTGTAGCAGTCAGAGGGTGGAACAGTTAGCAAGCTTAGCAT